CCTTCATTAGAAAATCCTAAGTATGTTGACAGGACTTTGTGTTTTTTATTACTTGCAAATAATACAAGTTTTTAGTTCCATATTTTCCCCATAAAAGTAAAATCTATAGAAGCAAATCTAAATCTGCATTAGACCAGAACAGAGGGCTGTTCAGAAGTGACGACTCTTTAAGATGAATGGTGGTTTCTTCAGCTTCTCCACAGCATCGCCAGATTCATCCACTATGGATGAAAACCTGAGATGGTTTTTATATCGTCCGTCCATCCATCCATCCATCCATCCATCCATCCATCCATCCATCCATCCATCCATCCATCCATCCATCCTTTGCCTCCATAAAAAGAAGATTAAGAAAATGTGCCCGAACTGAGGAACACAACAAAATTACAACTCAAATCTAAATCTGTGTGTGAGGCAGCCAAGCGAGCAGGCTCTGAATGTTGTACCTGAAAGTGACAGACTCCAGCACAGTTCTCCTCAAAGCTCTGGTCTTGGGGCACGACACGAGACAAAACCTGCTTGTTGAGAGTCAGGGAGGCGATAGCTGCCAGGAGCCAGCAGTTGCCTGAAGAAACATTTCACAAGTTAAAATGACGTAAAATTAGATCCAACACCGGCGGCACGGTGGCACAGTTGGTAGAGCTGCTGCCTCTCAGCGAGCAGGTCGCCCTGGTTCAAATCCCGGCTGGGGACACTTTCTGGGTAGAGTTTGCATGTTCTCTCCGTGCATGCATGAGTTTCCTCCAGGTACTCCAGTTTCCTCCCACAGACCAAAAACATGCATGTTAGTCTGATTGGTAACTCTAAATTGTCCCTAGGTGTGAGTGAGAGAGTGAATGGTTGTTTGTGTCCCTGTGATGGACTGGAGACCTGTCCAGGGTGTTCCCCACCTCTTTCACAGTGACTGCTGGACATGGGCACCAGTGACCCCCGTGACCCAAAAAAGGAAGAAGTGAGTAATGGAGATCCAGCACCTGTAACGTCTCAGGTGGTTTCATGTTGCCATCGCAACAACATCCCCCAAACATGGGAGACATACGTGGCACAACAACCTTGTCTGTGGCGAGTTTAATATTTTATTGCAACTCAATGTTGCCATCTCATAGATGATTTGTGACAGACTGGGTTTAGGTGGAGGAGTCAGAGGAAGTCGTGTTGTTGTTTGGTGCAAAGTGACAGGTGGTGTCGTCGTGTGCAGAAAAGTTTCCGAGGTGAAGACTCAGTGAAACAGCAGTGAATTCATACAGTAGATTCAGCATCAGTGTGTTTCTGTTTAACAGGCTAAGCATAAAAAAATGATTTAAATTGTTGCAGAAGGAAACGTGTTTCATGTGAAATGCTGTCCAGTCCAGAAAAACATTCTCCTCCAAAACTACAGACATTCACGATTCAAATCCTTCAGGGACGGGGGTACAGTATACTGCTCGTTAATTTTTACTGTTGTTTCTGCGTTTCAGTTCTGCTGCTCATGTCAATTATGTGCGGCAAACATTTTCTACAGGGTAATCTTGTTTTCCATCCACCAAATTATTTTCACACACATTTTACTGGAAGTAAATCTGATGATGATTGCATCACTTTGAGGACATGTACTGAAACACTAAAAATAAGGACGAGAACATCCCCTTATTATTCACTCACAATATGTCTTTTTATTTTATTACCCAGCAAAAAAGAACGAGCGGGGTGTCTGAAGCTTTGTACGGACAGAATGAAGTCATGTCCTCTTCCTATGGTGCAGAAAGAAACCTTTGTCTTGCAGAGGGCAGCCCTGGTCGACTGTTTACCATGTGACTTTCACAAAAGTACAAAAATATCAGCTCTGCATGAACACTGTCATCTGTTCCACCCCCAGTCAGTTACTGTTTTCAGTGATTTGTCAGTGTGTACAACATTTTTCTGATTGCTGTCGTCTTAAACATCCGTCCATTTATTTTCTGTGCAGGGTCGCCTTTCAGCTGCGATCATTAGGCGAGAGGTGGGGCACACCCAGGACAGGTCACCAAACAATTATTTTATTGTATTTATTTCTGGTCACAACTTAGTCAAAATTCTTTCAAATACTTTCATAACCTCACAGTATTGCTGAGGGGATACATAGGGCATAAGAAAATATCACAAATTATTTTTTATCCCATATTTATTATGTCATAAACTAAACCATTTCTCTCAGTAATGATTTTTTCCTTTTTATCTCTATCCCTATACTTTTAATTTGATATTAGTGCTCTATGTGGTACTCTGCTTTTATGTTTGAGAGCCTCTGTAAAAACTTCCTTCACTCCAGACGAGGCGCCTGGACTTACTCAGGAGTCCTGCCTCACGTCTTGTCCAATAACATAGTTTAGTTTGTCTTAGTTTAAAATATACTTGCAAATGGCACAAGTAATGTTTAATAAAAAATAAAAAAACTGCACCTGTTTCGCATGTGTGCAGGCTACAGAATCTGACACACTCGACTCAGAACAGCTGACTGCTGTTAGCTTCTCCCAAAGCATGAGTCATTACTGGGTGTTGTAGCTGCTTGCTAGTTTATCTGAGTTAGTAAAAGAGAAATCAGAAACTAGCATTGTTTAAAAAAATATTATGATAATATATATATAATTATATATATACAGTAGTAGGTTTAAAAGGTACGTTCTTATCGCTGTTAATATGCAGCTTCGTTCGCGTGTGAAAGTGGAAGCTTTTCGTTGTTAGCTTTATTTAAAACCTTTATTTACAATTTACCCACCACTTTTAAGCTGGATATGAAGGGTTTACTTCAAATCAATTCCAGATTTAACAATCATAAGGTTTTAATGTGATATCTAAAAAGGACTCGTGTAAGAGAGGATATGAGGGTTTTCTGTTTTTTGTTTGTTTGATATGAGCGAAAATCTGATCAATTCATATACAGTACCGCAATATATAAAGTACTATAATTATGTTCAGATATAACCCTAACCAGTACCACTTTACAATAAGGCTCCCCTTATAGATGGCTAATAAATAGTTTATAGATACGTTAATTCCTCTATAAACACTTTATAAATCATTAATAAGTGTTTATTATGCGTTAATTAAGGGTGACAGAGACAAAACTGACCAGTTTCTTGCCAAATAGTGAGCCACATCTGTTCACCTATATATTTAATCTAGAGTTGCTATATTCAATATTTCAGACTAAGTTACTACCTTGTAAGCACAATCAACATTTGTAAACCTATTGTTTAGGCTATGCTGTAATACTTATAATGCAGTGATAAAGTACAATATTAAATGCTAAAAACTTAAGTTTACAAATGCTTATTGTGCTTACAAGGTAGTCAGAAATGTTTATTATAATAACTAGATGAAATATACTGTATAGGTGAACAGATTTGGCTCACTATAGTTTTGTCACCCTTAATTATTATAATAAGCAGTTATTAATAATTTATAAATTGTTTATAGAAGAACAAATAACTATCTAAAAACTATTTATTAGCCACCTATAAGGGGAGCCTTATTGTAAAGTGGTACCCCTTAACCTTATAAACCTGTGATAACAACCTACTGAGCCTGCTAGGAGGTACAGGAGGGACAGTTTGAAGGAAACCTATGGGGATGATAACAACTGGTAACGACCATTTAATGGGTGATAACATTCGAAGCGGGTGACATGATCCAACATGTAAAAGAAGAACTGGGGCTTCAAATCTCATCAGCTGAAGAAAGCAGGTGGTTATGTCTCGATTTATTTTACAGTTGATAGATTTGTCTCTTTATTCCTTGATTGGTCAGCGGTTTGAGGAATCTCACGTCTTTGTCGACCATAAGCGCTGACAGTCTGATCTGTTTTCAGAATGAGTCTTTGCATCACGCTCACAGATCGTTTCACAAACCGGCAGGTCCTCATGCTGCTCAATACTTCCATATGAAAACTGTTTGTAACATAATGAATTAGTGCGATGAGTGATGGTGTCAAACAATCCAGCACTGACAGAAAATGTATTTAATTACATCAAGTCACCAAAAGTTCAGTTATTCTCCACTTTTTCCATGTTGACACAGTTAGTAGGCTACAGATGTGAGAATTATCCTAGAGCATTACAGATTTATCAGGCGTGGCAGTCCGCTGCAGGGACATAATTAAATTAGATACTCGAGATGTTGGGGGAGTTCTAATGGGAACTGTTATTTACTCGCACTGTCTTAATAAATTGAGTTTTTATTTAAGCTGCAGTCCAGTTTAGGAGGACAAGTTTTATTTGCATAGGTTAGTAATGAGAAGCACATGTTGTCCATCTTGTTGCAGCAGCCCCCCCACTCCATTTCCCATCTGTGCCCTTCAGGCCCTCGCTTGAGTCACCTCCCACTTTCCTCTTCCTTCCGAGCTCGTCTGTTTTTGTTTTTGAGCCCGGGCTCTTTGCACAGGAAACGCTGCGTACATTGGGAGCATTCAGGAAGGCAACGAGAGGCTTTCCCGTTCGCTCCAACTTTGGGAACGTGGCAAAGAAAAAAAAACAGAATAAAAGAGGCCTGTAATTCCTAAACTAAGAGATGCCAGCTGTTCTCCTCCTCCTCCTCTCATCCCTGTCTCTCCCTCTCTGCTGGTGTCAACATTTTGAAAATCTCTGCCACACCACTGTTTTAAAAAATCCTGAAGGGAGATAAAAAAGCAAAGTTCATGAGGGAAGTGCGTGCACGTCTGAGCCACAGAAGAGCCAATGAAAAGAAGGAGACTGTGGAATGAAGGAAAAGAGGAGGAGATAAAAATAAAAAAGGAGCACAGAGAGAGAGAGAGAGGCTGGCTGGGAGTAAAAAAAACAACAGGAAACCAGTGATTCTGATGCTGTTTCTGCACATTGCTGAGATAAAGCAGCAGCCTGCCTTGTCTCAGCAAACCAGCACACCAGGCCCCGTCCTGAGTCATCGCTAACATAGTAACAGTCTAAAAAAGAAAGAAGAGGAGGTGAAGTTAGAAAAGTGACGTCAGTGCTGCTCTCTGTGGTTTGTCAGAGCGAGCGGATGCAGACATTTGGGAGCTGCGTGCCGGGATTTCTGCGTGCCTGCTTTTGGACCCACCATCTCAACCTTCTCTGGAGGTCATATGGATGAGTCGACGTGCTCCGGGGGAACTGTGAGTTTTGACCGTCCGGACCACTAACTGGAGCCACATGAAGAATAAAGGGACCAAGCAGAAGTCCAAAAGGAAAGGAAGCGAGAATGCGTTCGGCTGTGACCTGACAGAACATCTCCAGAGTTCAGGACAAGATGGTAAACGTTTGGATTTGTTTCCTTGGAGCTCTACGAAGAGCTCTCAGCCATGACCGAGTATTTCCTTCACTCTGACCCTCAGACAAACCTTTACTGTAAAAGTAGTTCTTTTTTAAGGCTTATGATCTTATTAACCCATGAAAACACACTTTGCTACAAGCTGTTGTTCACATGTTTATATGTGATATCAGAGTGCCTTACATTTAGTAAGGCCATTCATTCACCCATTGGCTGCATTTAATGGACTTAGGGTGGGGCTCTTACAGTTTTTTTTTTAAATCTGCTCAATTTTCTACAATGAGAATTGTTCCAAACTTTGCAAACTGACACAAAACTGTGTGAAACTTCTGATTTTAGATGACAAAAAGAGCCATGAAAAAGAAAAATGAAACAAACAAAAAGGGAAAAAAAAAAAGCATCAAAGTTTTGGGTGATTACATTAAAGCTGTTTAATTTTATTTTATTTTTATTTGGTTGCCTTTTTCCACGCTGCCTTGGTCTGGGAGTGTTCCAGTGTGACATTTTAATAAAGAATCACAGTGAGCAGAAATCAGGGACTTTAAGAAAGAGTGTGCAGGGCGGTGCTTTCAGCAGGAAGTGAGGGAGGAGGTGTGGGTCAAACCCATGTGTCATGGAAGCAGCAGACATGTTCTCTGAGCTGTTCTCATGCAAGCTCTTGTGTGCTTCCAGCAAAACCAAGTCAAACATTAGAAAAACGTCCTTTTCGGTCTTTGTTCTTTACATGCAGTCTTTTTTTAAATCAAATATTCATCCATTTAAAAGAAACCAACCAAACAAATTCATCATCAAAAAAAAAAAAAAAAGCATTGAATGAAAAAGGTGCAGAAAAAACAAGAACAATATATATTATAATATCTGCCCCTCATTTTAAAAAATATAAAATAACTTTAAACAAACAACAACTCAGGCTTAAACAAAAACATCAGGCGTCCCTCACTTCTCATCATACTTCCCCAACAATTTTAATTTAATCCTCTTTTTAAACATATACATTGTTTTAGAAATGTTTGTGGTGATATCAAGGTAATCCCACAATCCTATTCCCTGAATTACAACGCGGCTCCTTCAGACTATATATAGAGGATTTACAAACATTTCCCTTCCCTTAAGGTTATAATGACGCTCTTTAACAAATTTTAATTGAATATTTTGAGGGGTAATATTTTTATGAGCTCTATACATGACTTGTAAAATACTATATTCAACCAAATCATAAAATTTTAATAATATCTATTGATGAAATAATATATTTGTTGCCTGACCATAGCACTTCCTGCTAATAATTCTTATCGCTCTTTTCTGTAAAATAAAAATAAGACAATTGTTTTGCACGCTTTTCACCAAACGTCAATACAGTTGATTAAATATGGAACAATCATTACATTATACAATATATTTTCATTCAAAAACTCTTTTATTTTATACATTCATTTATGTGACGGCAACACCAGCCCTTAAATAACATAAATAATTTCTTCAGAAGATGGAATAATTAATAATTTGCAGTTTTATTAAAGATGCAGTGAAGCTTTCTTGCAGAATGCAATGAAAAGAACTTCAGAAATACATTCATCCGTAGTATAGAAGAAATGCACAACTTTCAAAGCTGCATATTCAGTTGGTTTTTTATCGTAGCCACAAACAATCCACGGTTTTACTGCTATTTTTATTATTAAGTCATCAAATGTAGCTGTAAATCTCACTGATCCTCTAAGTCAGGCTTCAGATAGTGCCAGGCTGATGCTTTTTATTATCTGTCTTTCTGTCATCTGATGTAATCTGTGCACAATCCCACTGATGAGCGAGGAGTACCGTGTGACTGCAGGCACCTAATGTAGGCCATAAATAGATAAAAGTAGATTTCAAGGTTCTTTATTGTCATTCGCATCACGTGTGGTACATTAGGTGGAACAAAATAGTGTACTCAAGTCCCAGTTACACCCAAAAATTGCAAAAATATACAGTATAAAAAGAAACTTTCAGCCTTTAGTTAATGATAGAATAACATTTCTTTTAAATTTTTTGTTGTTTATATTGACTTGTTGATTAAATAAGCTATAACATCAACAAGCGAAATACATGTGTAAACAAATACGTTCCTGTTTCTGTTTCATTTTGCAGATTAAATTGTTTCAGAATGAAAATCTAGTTGAACGTCTGATAAGTTTTTTCTTTAAAGAGAGAGCTATTTGATTATCGCAGATTTCACGTTCAGAACATAAAGAAGGAGGTCAGATCCTTTGAAATGGGATCATGGTGAAAGTTTGCAAACAATCAATATCTTATCTGTTGTAGATAGCTCTTGTCCTGATGCATGCTCAGTAATCCAGGTGGATGAATCCAACAAGGCTGAGTCAGGTTCTTCTTTGGTGACACGTTTCGTATTTTATCCAAAAGACTTCTTCAGTCATCTTCAGTGTTTGAATGATTTCAGTCTTGAACTGATGAGCTTACAGCTAGTCTGAGTGGAGCCAAGAACAAAGCAGGATGCTGATATCTTAAATATCTAGTTTATAAACATTTGCATTGTTGTCAAGTTCACATTACCGTTATTCAAATAGTACTTTCTGCTGGAATAACCTCTAATCTCCTGAATTAACTGTAAAATGTGAACTATTACCAACGTAAACACTTATAAAATAGTATTTGCATGAACCAGTATATAATTTTTGAGATCAGCGCAGTGTTAAGAATCTACTTTGGTCTCGGCTGATTCAGATTAGTTTTAAGTTCATCATTTCAGTCAGAATTCAGTTATTTATTTCTGTAAACAAGTCACAAGTGTTAAGTCAGTTCGTCTGGACAGATTCTTCTTGGTTGACCTGACTGAACTTTGTTGTGATTTATTTACCTGCGCATGCATCAGGACACCTTAAACAAGCCATTGCAAGAACCATCTACAACAGGTAAGATGTTGTTTATTCATAACCACTCCAAAAGGTCAGAACTATCCAATTGAACAGATAAGAAGTTGTTCAGTTTCACAAACTTTGCAAATCACAAAAAAGCTGCAGAGCAGAAAACAAACATCATTTCAATAAACCAGGAAAAATTTACTTCTATTATTTGTTCTGACACTTAAAAAACTCTTGGTTCAACATATACATATACATGTATAAATACAGAAAACAAAACTTGATTTAATTTTTAATTTTCACATAGCATGAGGACTGATTGAAAGCTGAACGCTGAACTTTGGTGCAACTATCTTCATGAATCAGTCCAAAAAAATGAACTATATTTGGTCACCGGTCTGAGCAAAACGTTCCTTCAGCGCAGGAACAGAGAAGCACTGAGCGAGAACCCGAGAGTCGTCCATCATCATCCTCGTTTTGACCACAGGCAGGCGATTACATCTTCAATTATCTACGTCGAAAGGATGAGAATTTAAATAACTGTTTGTGTTTGTGGTGATGGGGAGGAAATCAAACATCTACAATCAGCTTGTGGTGGATCGATGCTACATTTTTGTTTCGGAGTTAATTAAAATAATTACAGAAATATGAGAAAGTAAAAACTTTTTTTTTTTTTTAAAGATGCCAGGAGAAAATAACAGTGGAAAGAGCATTTGAACGGAAGAATCTGAAACTCTTTGGGTTTAAAATGGGCGGCACGGTGGCACAGTGGTTAGAGTTGTCACCTCATAGCGTTTGCTTTTTCCAAGGACCTTTCTGGGTGGAGTTCGCATGTTGTCCTCACGTCTGTGTGGGTTTTCTCTGGGTACTCCTGGAAACCTGTCTGATTGAACATATGAAAATCCAAGATGGCGACCTTTTTTCAAGATGGCTGCCAACATGAGCTTGAATCTGCACCGTGATCATATGATAGTGCAATCGATCAGTTTAATTGATCTTTGTGTCAGTTTATATGTTTTTATCTGTCAGTAGCCTTGTACTTTGCATGTAACACATATGTGTATATAAATTATAATGCAATTCTACTGTAGTTTTCAGACTGTAAGGCGCAATATCAATGAACGGGTCTGTTTTCATACATAAGGCACATTAAGCGAAACAAAACAGTCAAAATTTATTCAACTCATTCACAATAATTCTCAACATTGTTCAGTTGAAGCACATAAAAACAGTTCAAGGTCAGTAAGCACGACCAAAATTAATGCATAAGACGCACCTGATTTTAAGGCTCACTGTTGATTTTTGAGAAAATTAGAGGATTTTAAGTGTGTCTTATATATTATATAATATGTATAGGCCTTATAGTCAGAAAAATACGGTAATCACTATTTAACCTGTTTGGATTTTTAGATGGGTAGAACTATGAAGACCAAGCACAGCAAATTTAATGCTTGTGTCACATTTTGCATGATTCTTGTGTAAAAGTGGTTTTAGCTGCTGTTCAGCTCCAGCTGTGAGGATAAACTCAGTTTAACTGTGGGTGAAGATGTGGCATTTATTATAATGTTGGAGGTTGTTTTTTATATTTGTGAACCACGTCTTGTTCTCACTCTTTGAAAAAAAATCATGTTAAGAAGTTTGAGTCTGATTTTGTGCATAAAACCATCAAGAATCCGAGCATGGGAGTGAGCAGCCGAACGCAGCAGCTAAATGTGTTGATTTGTTCTTAAGAGTTGTTTACTGAGTGTGAGCTGCTGTTACAAAAGCGTTGTAGGTCAATGGTAACGTTACAAAAGCCAATTTCTATTAGAGGAAATGTCGTAAGTAATACCAGCTACAAGGACTGGGTGTGTCAACTTTCCTCTGAAACAAACAAACCATTTTTAACTTCCTGCCTCCGTCCACCTACAATCACCGGCCCTGAGGAGGTGAAAACAGACATCCATACGAAACGAACCACAAGTCATGAAGTCTGCACGCTGCACGACCGCGTCCACGTGTCCTTCTGCTGATGTTCTGCGTGGACTGAAAACCCCACAACTGAAAATGTTGGGACGTTCTGTAACACGTAAATAAAACCTCTACACCTTGTGGCTGAAGGGTGCACGAGAGAATATTTCCGAAAGCGTTGTCCTAAACCCAAAACAGCGTGCGTCTTACGAATGAAGCCAACACGAGCACTTAAGGAAAAATGTCACTGGGCTGAGACGTTGGCAACTAGTTGGTGGACGGTATTCACAAGGACGCCTCCAGAACGTCTTGCAACTCTTACAGGGAGTTCACTTGCTTGAGTCACTCGGCTGGTGGGCGTCTCCAACCCGTTTTAAGAGTGCCACCATAGTCAAACAATTTCAAAATAACATTCTTTAATTGAAAACTGGGAAGACTTGGACTCTCCTTCATTTCCAGGTCATAACAGATTAGAAGAATCTGTAAAAATCGCTGAGCTCAAAAGACAAGGATGAAGGTCCATGTCTGGTGGATGTTCCTGATCTTTGGGCCGTCAGGGCCATTAAAACCTGGTCTGGTTCTGATTCTGTTCTGAGCTCACAGATCATTGTCTGTAAACGCTGCTTAAAGCTCTATCAGGCAAAGAAGAAGCCAGATGTGAAGACCATCTTGAAATGCTGCCAGCTTCTCCAAAGCTCATTTCACATGGACTGAGGAAAAGTGGAGGACCGTTCTGTGGTCAGGCAAATTGAAAATACTTTATTTTTTGAAAACATGAGTTACACGTTACCTTTACTAAAGATGAGATGAACCATCTGGCCTGGGATCAGCACACAGTTTAAGTCTGCCTCTCTCACTGTATGGGGGTGCATTACTGCTCCTGGCATTGACTTTTCTACAGCTACAAATGCACATGAATAAAACCGCACACTTTAATAGAATGATACCCATTTCTGGTCTGTGCATGCTGTTTTAGTCCTTTACACTTTCTTTTTATCGACTTTTATAAACAAATGTATTTATAAATTAGTTTAATTGGTATTTTACATTGTGATAACAGTTTGCAATGTTGTCCGGTGTCGGACTGACTGCAGACAGCTAAACACATTGGTAGATATGAACAATCTTACTTCCAGAAGTAAGTATGAAGCTATGCAGACCACAAGACATCACAAAACACTTTGAGCAGAACATCAGTAACTGTCAAAAGGTCAATGAGCAGCTTACACATCTGGAAAGGCATCATCAATGCAAAACAGTGTTTACAGATTTTAAAACAATATGATCAGCATAAAAATCCACCTAAGAAGACCCAGGACCGTTGAACAGCTAAAATCCTAAATAAGACCAGAACGGGACAAGATTTGCCTCCAAAACCTCCAACAGCTGTTCTCCTCAGCCCCTCATGTTTACAGGCTGTTGTTAAAAGAAGAGAGGATGCTGCAAAGTGGGAAACATGGAGCTGGGACAACTTTTTTGAGAGGATTTGCTGCCATCGAGCATAAAATTAGCCGCATTTTCCTCGAAATTTAAAAAAAAAAAATTGTTTTATTTGACCTGTTAATTATGTTCTATTTGGAATAAATTGTGAGCTTTGCAAGTCATTGTGTTCTGTTTGTATTTACATTTACACAGTTCGTTCAACCTTTATTTATACAGTCTCGTTGAGTTACCAAGCCTCATTTGTCAGAGCGACCTGTTTTAAACAATGCCTTAACTTTTCTCAAATTGGGGTTAAATACAAAAAAAAAAAAAGAGAACGAGAAAACTTCCCACAGACTGAACATGTTTTTTTTCTGACTGAAGTTCCTCAGGTCCTCAAGGAATGTGCAGAGTTTATCGAGAAGTTTGGGATTGTGGACGGGATCTACAGACTTTCTGGAGTCACCTCAAATATCCAGCGCCTCAGGTACGCGACTTTCTGATGCTTTTCTTTAAAAACTGACATCTCCCACGAATTAAACTCCTAAATTAAACATTTGAAAATAGATTATTTTATAAAAAACATAAACCAGCACCCTTATAGATATTTGCTTCCTTGCACATGGAACCCACCGTGTCCATGTTTAGTATTGTTGTTGCTCCTTTCTCCTACGACGACTTTGGGAAGTGAGCGCTCTTCACTGGTGCAACAGAACGTAGCTGTGATGCTAAACAATCTGCTCATTCAGCTAACGGTGCGTGTGTTTGTGTGTGCAGGCAGGAATTCAGCTCCGAGGCGTGCCCTGACCTTACAAAGGAAGTGTACCTCCAGGACATCCACTGTGTGGGCTCCTTGTGCAAGCTCTACTTCAGGGAGCTTCCCAATCCTCTGCTCACATTCGAGCTGTACAGCAAGTTCACTGTGAGTACCTGCACGGGGGTGTGGGGGATGAATGAAGTGTCTCCACCAGATTTGTTCTGCCCTCACACTGTACAGATTGAAATTAATGACAGACGTTAGGGAGACACTTCTGAAGCTGGCTCTGTGTGTTTGCGTCAGCGTTATTCATGTCCTTGTTTCCCGCTGAGCTTCTCAACTAAGTTCCACTGTAGAGAATTTATGAATTTACCCGACCTGATCTGAGCTGTCTGCAAAGAATGTGATGAATTGCACAACTACAAACACACTTCACCACTGAAAGATGAAAAGTAGACGATCATGTTTCTGTGTGTGTGTGAGCTTATCACTGTTAAAACATTTGGAAGGATTTTTACTAAAACTCACAGAAAGCAATCGTTAGATGAAGATCTAATTTTGGAATCGGTTAAATCTGACTGCCACAGTTTTAAAGACACAACAGTTGATGTAACTTTGGCGTTTTTGCAGATATTGAGCTAACATTTAGTGTGGTAGCAGCTGAGGGTCGTCTCCAACACATACTTGGAGCACTAATAGATAGCTTGAGACTGTGCACTATTTTCAAAATGTGAGTAAAACAGCTGTAACTCGGTCATTTCTCAACATAAGATAAGCTCAGTTTAAAACTGTGGCATGAATGGCACGTCTAGACTGGACTATTGCAATGGTTTGTTATCTGAGTGTCCAAATACGTCTTTAAAATGTCTTCAGTTGATCCAAAATGCTGCTACCAGAGTCTTAACTGGAGTTAGTGGGAGTCCCAATTATATCTCTCCAGTTTTAACTTCTCTCCATTGGCTCCCTGTCAAATCCAGAACTGAATTCAAAGTATTACTTCTAACCTACAAAGCTCTCAACAACCTAGCTCCATTTTATATTACAGATCTTATTGTTCCATATTTTCCCAACAGAGCACTTTGTCTAGACTGAAGACTTACTTGTGGTTCCTAGAGCAGAATGGGAGGAAGGTCTTTCAGTTATCAGGCTCCTCTCTTGTGGAACCAACTTCCAGTTTCTGTCCGTGAGTCTGACACACTGTGCGGTTTTGAGACTGGTCTTAAGACTTTCCTTTTTGATAAATCCTATAGTTAGGGTTCACTTGTTATGCTGCTATAGGATTAGTCTACTGGAGGACAAATTGACCTCATTTCCTTAAATGAATTGTTAAAATTTAATACTTTTCATTTGATATTATTTCTATCTTAACGTGATTCTTGACCTGCCATTGTGTATCTATTCCTCCTTCATGTTCCTCTCAAACCCAGCCGGTCAATGCAGATTACCGCTTGTCCTGAGCCTGGTTCTGCTAAAGGCTTCTTCCTCATTTAGTTTTTTCTTTCCACTGTCGCCTTCATGCTTGCTCAAGATGAGAGTCCTGTGATGAAGTTAAAGTCAAAGCAGTCTGCTCCTCAGATAAATAATGTTAAATTATTATTTTTACATATGAATGTTTCTGTTCAGTGCCCTGAGACGACTTCTCTTGTGACTTGGCGCTATATAAATAAACTGAATTGAATTGAAATGAAACGTGGCGGGTGATATGCATTCCCTTAAGGAACGCCAGATCTTTAATTAACATAGTTTTGCTGGATCTCTATTGGGTTCTAAAGAGGAGATTTGAGGGTTCATTTCTGGATGAAATAGAGACATGAAAGCAGCTGCAGCTGGGCAGAAGGAAGCAGAAATATCAAGCTGAGCCAGGCATTCTGTGGGGCAGGCTGTGTGCCCTGACGGGCCATTTGCATACCTTGGTATTCATACATCGTCTCAGGCCTTAAAAATTCAGAGTTCTGGTATTTTTGGAAGTGCATTCCCTCCACTCTGTGTACAGACAGAAATATGGAAAAACCTCTTTACACAGTGGAGGTAGAGACTTATACCCAGGAAGGTGCCATTTAGTCAAATCAGGACCAGAATAAACTGATTTTTAAAGCTCTACCATCCAATCCAACACTCAGAAATCCAATAATCTGAAAGATCGTTAGTTCTTGTTTTCTGTAAAGACGGAAAGATCCAAAAATCTGGTGCTTTTTTCCTAAAAATTATGTTTTTTTTCTTACTTTGAAGTTCAGTCGATGGTAATCCCAACACGTTGAGTCAAAGACAACTGAAGTCAATTTTTAATTCTGATCAAAATTCAAAGGAAAAAAAAAACTTCATATTAGTAAAACTTGAGCAACGTTCAGTCAGGTCATCTGGACAGTTTCTTTTGCTGTGCTGAGACGTTTGGCCTTCCATCAGCTTCATCAATCTGAGGAAACACCAAACAAAACTGATATTCCACCAACAGCTTACACCAAAGTGAATAAAAAACAGCTGGTGCTAAAATGGCCTCTGGGTCACACCCTCTCACAGTCATGTCAAACTGGTTCAAAACAACAAAGTCCATGTTCAATAATCTTCACGAAGACCTGGCTGAAAATTGTTGCAATTTATACCTGGATTATTGAGCATGGACTCTGGTATTAGTAAAACTTGTTTTTGGTGACATAAACTAAAGTGAAACCCGGCGGTTCTGAGCTGTCAGAAAAACAGGGCAAGAAAATTGTGATCAGTGGACATCTAAAAGTGATTAAACAAGAAAAACAAACAAAACTGTCTTGGTTTGCCCTAAAGACAAATTCTCTTTTAGAATGAATGGTTTTCAAAATCACATCCATCAGTTTTGACATTATGTAGCTGATTGCTGCACTTTTTAACATATATATATATATATATATATATATATATATATATATATATATATATATATGTTTGTGTGTGTGTTTGCATAAATATTTACACGGCACAAGACTACAACATTAACAAATCAATTTTTTTTACTTCACAATATGTGACGCTAACATTTGGGCCATGTTCTTCAAGGATTCAAGGTTCTTTATTTGTCATTGAAACAAAGTTGTGTACACATGGTCCCAGTTACATCCAACAAAAGTATTAAAATGTAAAAGAAAAACAGTAACAAGATCAAAGATATGAACTAAGAAAAACGTTAACTAAAAACACACTATGCATTAATAGCATAAAACAATGCAGCGAACAGCAGCACGAACGTGAGTCTGTGTGAGCAGATGAGTACGAATAAACACAGCAGCATGAAATAGATCAGCAGCAACGTGCAAGCTAAGCAGCATACATAGACGTTTAATAGAGATAAACCGCTTGGAAGCCGGACAGAAATATTTGGGGCCGTCTCCTCTTAAATAAAAAGAAAAATAATAAAATATTCTGTTCGTGTAGGAGACACATCCTTAGAAAACCCACTTCATATTTCAAGTTAAACAACTATTTGGCATCAAGTCTTGCACGTAACTTGGTGTGTTTTCTAATTTATTGTTAAAGAATTTGAAGTTGTAATTACCAAAACAGAAAACGTTGCTAGAATTTATCATAAAATGGTAAACAGTTTATGATAACTGCAAAGTTTGATCAATAATATGGAGAAGCATCCCTCATTTGAAAAGGAAATGCTAAGTGACCTAAGTATACTTGATAAAAGTAACAGGCCTTCTAAAACTACTATAAGGTATGGTGAGATAGTAGTAAAGAGACTGTAAGAGATTTCATCTTTGTGTAAACCAAGCTGTCAGTGAAATGAGAGATTTAATTGAGGACAAGCGCAGGGAGCTTGAAAACCTCAAACCGCTGATCACTTGCATGCAAATCATTCCATGTAGCACAGCTGAGTGTGACAGAGGGTTTAGCTTAATGAACAATGCATGTGCAGATAAAAGGTCTTCTCTATTGTTGTCAAATGTAAGTCATCTCTTGATGATCAGTATAAATGGGCCTCCTGATCATCGTTTTCAGTCGAGGAAGTAACGACACGGTTAAGAAAGCAGCGCTCTGCAACAGAAACAAGAAGACTAATGAAACCTAAAGAGCGTGAGAACAAACACATTTGGAACATTTGTTTCTGTACTTACTTCTTAATACTTGAACTTGTTTTAATTGGATACAGTTTTATCATTTCTATAACATGTTTTTAATACAAAGCCAACTGTTGTACAAAGTTTGCTGCACATTTATTCAAGTATAAGCATCAGAGAAATATGGAAATGTTCAATTTGCTTAAAAATCAAAATAAATTGACGATTGCGTTGTACTAACCGGTGTACTTTGTTTTCTAAGCACAGCATACCCACTACAAAAATGTAGACTGCACCACTGAGGCGTGCATTTTTGTGTTTTACTTGCAGGAAGCTGCCTCAGTTCATGGAGATCATGAGAGAATTGTACACGTTCAGAGTGTTGTCAAAGAGCTGCCGACCCCTCACCTCAGGTGAACTTTACATCGATTTTTACTCTCAGCGCTCAAAGAAAAACATGCAAACCCCAAGTCTGAGTCCAAATGACATTGCTGTCGTATAAGAGGCTTTGCTTTATGTCCAAACATGTGCAGGACTCTGGAGTACCTTGCTAAGCATTTGGCCCGCCTTGCCACTTTCAGCTCCCAGACCAACATGCACACACGTAACCTGGCTCTGGTGTGGGCTCCAAACCTGTTAAGGTGAGTTCAGCTTTTCAAACGCACCTGAAACACATCGAACACAGAGTTACCGGAAGCGTGAGTAAATTCAACGATTCATCATTTGTCTTCTCAGATCTAAGAACATCGAAGCTCCATCCGGTAATGGAGACATGGCTTTCCAGGAGGTGCGGATCCAGCAGTCGGTGATTGAGTTCATTTTAAACCACGCAGAGCAGATCTTCAGCGGCGATTCGGCTCAAGTAAAACCCAAAGAAGGTCAGAAGTTTAAGAGCGAGAACAAGCTATTTCTGCTGCTGATCTGTGGAAAAACGCTAACAGATTATTCCTCGGCAGGACCAGGTGTGGTGTGTGGGGAGAAGTATGCCACGCTCCCGATCAGCGGACAGAGCGGGCCGATGAAGCTCATGAGTCTGGAGGAGGCCCGGGCCCGCTCCTTAAGTCCAAACCATCCTGTGCATCGAGAACGTCAGAGGGAGAACAGCCTGCCTGACGCAAGCACCGCCACGCTCTATCACACTGTCATCGACATATCGGACAACAAGTACGATCAGAGTTCAGCCTTCGTGTGTCGCAGCTAGTATTCAAACAGCTTTGCTCTTTAAAGTGTTGGAGAGCGAGGCTTTATGGTCTTCTTTTGTTGTCTATCAGGAGGAAGTTTTCTGGGAAATCAAAGAAGTGGAAGTCCATCTTCAACCTTGGAAGATCTGTGGACTCAAAGGGAAAACTGAGCCGCAACGGCAGCGTGTTCATAAGAGCAGAGGGAGGAAGAGGTGAGTTGATCAGCCATTTAAAAGGAACAAAATACCATTTTTTATTCTGTTTCTCCATAAAAATCTGTTTAAAACTCAGCCGTGCAAAAATATCAAGGCAGCAAGAGATTGTCCTTCTGCAATAGGAGATGTTTCTAGTCATATATGAGGGCCTGCATGGTTGAATTAAGTCATATTATTATATCCTCTCCAAAAATGAGTTTGAACTTCATGCGTCAATGCAGTGCCTCATCAAGTGAGATTTTGTGAGGTTTGAAAAGCAAAGCAAGCGTTTGTTTTAGCCTAAATTCAATGGTTTTCATTACAGAAAATCAGTTTGTTTCTAAATATGCGTGCGTTCAATAACTTTTTTTGTGTTTATGTATGACGTCTGCATCATTTTTGTGCCCTTTCGTACACATTGTTTCAAAACCTGTTGAATATTTACATGTTTTTAATCTAAGAACACATAAACTTCCCAATTATCCATTTAGAGCTGTGAGGCCGATAGTTATCAGCTTTTTAATGATTTAGAGCTCCCTGATTAAATAAAACAGTGCCCACTTAACGTAGGTACCAAAATCCTAAATTCAAGGGCTAACTGTGAGACTAGTAGTTTAACCAGATATGTTTGGAAATTGTAAGACTAGAATAAGTTTTACTATCTATGTTGTGCAAATTAGTCATACAGTATGTTGAGTTACTGCATTTCTTCTGCAGATAAGGCAGCTCTGCGTCCGTCCAGGAGCATGGAGTCCTTACCACCAGGTGAAGCCAAATCTTTTGTTTATATGGTTTTAACAGAGAGCTGAAATGCTGGGATGTCCTCTTTGTCTCATTGTGGAACTGAGTTTCTTCTATAACAGGGCACTTTGTAATTTGTGCATATTGAATCACACAGATGATGACAGACCTGGCGGCAGCAGTCCAGCTGGTGGCTCCAGTAACATTTTCATCCCTGATGTAAAATCCCGAACCCTGGGATCCGACTCGCTCCTTGACCTGAGTGAACACGACCAAAACTGGGACTTTAAAGGGAAGAAAGCTGGCGGTGCCGCAGCCAGCTGGAGCTCTGGCGTGAACCAAAGAGACTCACCGGGAGCTTCCTCGCCCTCTCAGAAGACACTCCCAGAGCAGCTTAAGGTGTTCAAAGGCGACGACGTCAGCAGCTACAAGCCCACGTCTCCAAAGAACAGAAGGATGCTGTACTCGGGCTCCTCCCGGCCCTCGTTCCCAGGAAGCTTCTTCCCTCTGGAGTCCTCACCAAGGCACCAACGCAGAGCCGTCAACATTTCGGAGCCTTTCGCCGTGTCCGTCCCGCTGCGTGTGTCAGCTGTCATCAGTTCTAACAGCACGCCATGCAGGGGACATAACAAGGAAAAGGCAGCCACCCTGAAGCCTTGCAAAGAGCCCTCGGAGCAGAGCAGCAGCATTAAGAAAAGCAACACGTTCCCCCTGCTGGAGCCAAAGAAGCAGGAAGGAACAGAGAAGCACACAGAAGCTCTGACCTCTAGAGCATCACCAAAAGGTGAGCTCACCTTCTGTAATCGGGTGTTAACATGGTTTGTTCTTACCTTCAGCGTTCTTACCAAAAATGTGCCTTTTTTTTTTATTTTTTTACAGTTTCAAGCAGAGAGGTCAATCCAAAAGGTGAAGGAGAGAAGAAAACCTCTGAACTGGAGGAACTGTTCAATGCACAAAGAGCAGCGCCCCCTTCTGGAGACGAAACAAACAACCGTCCTCCAGACACAAAACTGGTAAAATGTTTAAACTGATACAGGTTTTAGTTTAACTGGAAACAAGATTTGTGTGCTGTTTGTTAGAACAAATTCAATGAAATTTATATTTCTAAATTAAAAACTTTAATTTGTTTAAATATGTATACCTTTATAGTAAATAGTCTGCTTCTTGGTTATATTTTTAGCTTCATCTCTGAGCTGTAAAATGTAAGAAATGCCAAATAAAACTAGAAAATACAGATTAAAAGCTGAGGAATGCCTTTACTGAAGTTTACTGAAAAAGCTGAAAGGGAATGTTTTTAAAAAAAAAACTAAGCTGACAGCTAAAAGAAGCAGAACACTGGCTTTAAGCTAAAAAAGAAAAACACAAGCTAACAGCTAAAGGAGGCAGAAAACTAGCTTAAAGGTAAAAAAAAAAGACACAAGCTAACAGCTAAAAGCAGCGGAACAACAAATGAAAACTAAAAACAAGTTTTTAAAAAAGCAAGCTAAAAGCTAAAGAGTAAAGTGTTAGCAAAAAGCTAAAAGAAGCAGAACACAAGTTTAAAGTTAAAAGCACAAGCACATAAAAGAAGTATGAGATTAGTTTCAGGCTAAAAAAAAGAGAAAGACAAGCTAAACAAGAAAAATGCAAGGTAAAAACTAAAAAGAATAAAATGTTAGCTAAGTGCTAAAAGTAACAGAATAAAAGTGTAAAGTAGCAAAATTGCTAATAACTAAAAGTTGCATAATAATAGTTATAAGATAAAAGTAACAAAATAATAGCTGAAAGCTAAAATTAGCAAACGGCTGTCTAGCTAAAAAACAAAGTGTAGCACAAGAAAAGTATAGAGCACAAGCATAATTAAAAAAAAAGTTTTTAAATTGACAAGATCTCATCACATTTCCAAGGGAAAGTTTTTTTTATAAATAAAGTTGAATATTTTGAGAAGTATACGTCCGTAAAAGTCCTAGCACCCATTTCCCGAATGAGCCAAACTTTTTGCTACAAGAAAATAACACAGAATGTGCAGAACTTGTTAGATTACGTGTGAATTAATAATTTAATCTTAATGTTGTGGTTTATTCTAGTTCTCACTATTATCAATTCAGTTGTCAGTGTTTTTACACAGTTTGATCTACATTTTTTTCCAGCGCGCACCCACTCATTCTGTTTTAGACATTTCAAGTCAAACCGTGACCTGTTATTTAACTTTAGCTGTTTACGTCTATGTCTTTCAGGATCACAAACCATCAACAGGAGAAGACCTCCAGCATGAGTTAAAGATAATGGAGTCTGAACCAGCCGCTCTGGATTCAACTCATAAACCTGTTTTCACCTCAGTGAGCACATGTGGGAACACCAAGTTAACGATGGACGTCAAGTCAAAGCGAAGTCGAAGTTCTCCGTCTCTGTCTTTGTTGTGCAGGGAGCCATCATTAAACGTTTCGCAGGGTGAGCGGGTTTTAGCCTCCTGGTCTGTCTCCAAAAAGAAACAGCCATCAGAACCGGACCTCTTAGTTTGTGTTCACAAAAACGTTGACGTCATCTCTGGCGGAAAAGCTCCTAACGTCCAGCTTGCTGACATTCTGGGTGCAACGAAGAAGCCATTTAGGCAAAAAGTCCCAGCTTTAAACAAAGATGACTCAGCTTACATCAAGCAGTGTCCACCTTCCTTCAAAGAAACCAACTTAGATCAAATCAGAAACCCTTTCACAATAAAAGATCTTCCACAGGTTGCATGCTTCTCAAGTGACAGATCATCTCAGAAACAAGAAGGACCAAATGAGGACAAAGAAAGTCCTCATAATGGAGCAAAGAAAAGTTTAAACCCAGAGACGGAAGTGAGTCAAAGCCTTTCTGTTCATTTAGAGGAGAAACGCAACTCAGTGGAAGTGCCAGACGATGAGGAGGGGTGTGGAGACCAGGTGGAGGAGCTGGACTTGGTGGAGCCCTGGGAGGATCTAAGCTCCACCAAGCAGTGGGTCACCAGTCCTCTCCACTCACCGGATATAGAGGAGTTGTTCAACCAGCTGTCCCCCTTCGGCTCAAAGGGAGAAACTCAGAGTTCAGAAGGTGGGAAGACTTCTCCTTCAGGTGATGACAACAAACCGTCCTTCGTTGGGAGAACTGAACAACCTTCAGGAAGTCCTCCTCAGAGCATCAACTCAGAAACTAAAGGGACACATTTGCCCACAACTCAGCTGAGTTTGAGCAGTAACTCAACACAACCTCAGACAGCAAAGGGCAGCTCAGCAAAACAGAAAACTGCAGCGTCATCTCAGAGGTTCAACAGACAAATGTCTTTCGAGACGGCTGTGGCCGAGAAAAGAGAAGAAAGCCGCTTCTCTAAAAACAGGCCCTGCTCACTCAACTTAGACCTGAGCCATCGCTACATAAGAGATATTTCAAATCAGCAGAACTGTAACTCCTCAGAGTCCTCCTCGTGTCAGAAAGGTTTACTAGCTTCACCTGGGACCAAAGGCCGATCGGATTTGGACCTGTTTCTGAACGATCGGCAGGCGCCTCTTCGTCGAAACTCGGCCCCGGTCAGCGTGTCGTCGGTGAGGTCAACCTTCATGATCAAAAAGTGCCAGGTGAGAGCCGTGCCTGTCGTCCCTCCAAAGGTGCAGTACAGCCAGATACCTCAGACCAAGCAGGAGGGCGATACCAGTGCAGGGAAGGAACAAGACAAGGGATGTCCCAAAACAAACGTAGAGCCAAGCGGCACAGCTCTTCCTTTGATGATGATGGATCTGAAGGAAGAGCTGGAGAATAAAGAACCCGGTCTCAAACACCAGAAAACTCCAAACCTTCAGAAATCTGCAGAGTCTGGAAGGAGCGCAACCCTTCCAGAGCTGCCTGTCATAACCAGGAGACATGCCCCCAGTCTGGAAGTGTTCGTGGACTGCCCCAGACCCAACAGAGGGACCTTATTACAAAGACCATCCTTCAGGAACCGACAAAGACCTCAGAGTCTCATCCTTCTCAGCCCCCCTTTCCCCATCATGGACTATCCGCCATCAGGAGACGACGGTAAGCTCCTGTCCTCCATCAAGAGCCTGAATGATACGGCAGCGCTGAACGTCTTTTCTAAAGAGATGGCAGAAAATTTCAGGACGCCTGAGGGGATTTCTCTTCAGAATAAAATGACTATTCCAAAGAGTGGGCAGAGACTGGAAACATCAACCAGCTGCTTCTACCAGCCTCAGAGAAGGTCCATGATATTTGACAGCAGGAGCCATCGTCAGATTGAGTGACAGGAAGTGGACCGGACGCTCTTGTGAATTCATGCAGTACATGAAGAATCTCACTTACATGGATGATAGTGGGAACACATGGGAGTTAGGGTTTATTAATTCAAAAAACAGAAACTGGAAGCCGTAATTTATGTATCTTTGTTCTTCCACTTTCCTTCAGTCAAACATTCGTTGAACTGATATGCAGAAATGAAGTGAAAGTTTATCTGAGATATAAAATCAAAGATGAAACTTGAGAGGATGATGAAACTGACTTTAAAGTTTGTACAAAAAAACTGTTGTGCTGCCCCGTCCCTCTCTGCTGTGCCTCAGCATCACATTTCACCAAAGACTGTAGACACCCCAACCACATGCTGTGCTGTCTCCGTTTCCCACTAGTAGGCATGAGTTGTATTGACAGATCATGAAACGTGTGGAAAATTTGATAAACGAATGCAAGCAATCAAAATATGAACCATTTGTTGTGTATGAGTGCTCGCTTGAAGATGTGTTACAAACTCAGGTGTTAATCTGGACAGATTCTAAAAGAAAATGAGGAAAATCTAATCTGTTTAGCATAGATATGCCAGTTTCTACCCACAGGAGCATTCATGTCACATTTGGCCTCTTCCCTGACTGTCTGCACCTTCCAATCACTTATTTGGGATTAAACATCACATTGAATCATTATTGTATCAATACATTTTAGCTAAAATAATGTTGCATACAACATGTTTTTGTTTCCTCTTAGTATTTTTTCCAGCTTTAGGTTAATTCACACCTTTGTTATTGTCCTCTTTGTTTGCTTTTGCCCACTGGTGAACTTTTCATGCAGTCACTCCTCCAGTGTGGTTAATTTATCATACCTGATGCTGTTTAATCTCGGTCAGATCAATGAGGTGAAAACACTGCAGAATGAATCCTAATCAGTCGTCATCTTCTCTTTGCAGCCGCGTTGAAGTCCTGCGCGTGCACCCCGTTAGAAACACAATTTCGCAAAGTCCCGTCTTTAAACTGTGAATGAAAAAGCTGGTTTACAGATTTAGTCATGGCTTGTTTTCACAGCTGATCCGAAGGTGAAATCTGGAGCACACTGTCGTTGAAGTAAAGTAAGGTTCTGATGAAGGCTGTGAACAAATAATATCTTACCTGTTGTAGAAAGTTTACTGAATAATCATAGATTGGAAATGCAAATATTACTTCTGACTAGATTGATGAACTAATAGATAGTTGAGGGAGGCCAAAAACAACATGGATTGTTTTTGTCTTAAAGTGCCTGTGACATGCATATTCTACAAATTCAAAAAGTGGATGAAAAAATCTTTGTGTTTTAGAGATTTGGCAGAATACACATGATTTTATCCATTTTATTCCATAACTGACATATTTTCTTTTGAACTATGTGCAGCGAGAGTGAAACAGGAAGTGACATCAAAGGGGAACTTCTTGGTCTTTGTTTATTGAACCAGTAAGATCTGAACTCTGACTCTTCTTCATCTTTCTCTGATGGCGACTCAAAATAATCTAAAGAAATATCAGATTCGTTTCTACTGTCTGTGTTGTTAGCATTGTAGCAATGCTCTGTTTACATGCAGGCGTTCCCCTCTGACATCACTTCCTGTTACTGACATCGCTTTCTGGTACTTCTCAACAACTGTTCATCTCAGCTTGTGATTTTTATGTTTTTTTAAATATATCAATAATGTTATCTATCTGAAAACACATTCATTTATTTTACAACAATTAGATGTAACAGGCACTTTAAAACAATTCAAATTTCAAATATTTCATAGACCTTCATAAAAACAATATTTAATTTTTGCATTATACAGTTATTTATGTAAATGTTTTTGTTTTTTGTATTAAAGACAGAGCCGTCTGTTATCAGATTTAAGCCGCGTTAAATTCATGTTGCAAACTGGAATGTATTTCTCAGGAGTTTTCTGTTTTTTCACACAATGCTGCGGCGATAAACAGTCATCTTTTCCACATTCCAGGGATGTTATCGGCAACGAGAAGCCAAGAAAACGGGAAATGAGTCGAATAGTACGTTGCAGTGAAAAAATGATGTCACCACAACAGAAGATTCATGTAAATCATTGTTGAAGCACAGATAGTTCCTTAATACGATTTTTTTTTTAATACTGTTAGGGGTTCAGGAGAGTTTCAGCAGATTTGACCAAAGTTTATTTTATTCCGGTCACTGCGCTTTGCTTTATGACAAAACAGCTTTTAATTTTAAGTTTTTAACAAAAGGTAAAAGTACAAATACAGGTATTAAAAATAACTATTTTATTGAAAAAAAGTATGATAAAATCCCTGAAAAAGTATTATGGAAAAATAAAACATCACTTTTTGTCAAACTCGGATTTAACAGGTGTCAATCAAGAATTACTTTATATGTCATATGAATGACCCTAGAGGTAATCTAATTTTCATTTCCCCTGTATGTAGATGAAATGTTCTATTCAAGAATGGCTGTAAAGGCTATTTTATCATGTGTTCCCACATATACAAACAATAACCTTCCATTAGTGGCCTGATTAAGTGTCTGCGTCAATGTATGGGAAAGAGTTATGGCACCTGGAATAATAAAAGTTAATCTTATCTAAGAGACTTTCATCTTTTGTTCTGCCCTCCAATAACTAAGTGAAAAATCATATTACTGGATCCAAAGAAGGCCTTAGTCTGAGAAACATGCATATTTTGTCTGCACTTAGCCACTACAAACCTCCACCTCCACTACCACACCACCACACACACATCAGTAAATGTCAATCTAAATCATCAGTCTAAATGTTCATGTTACTAGGTTAACATTTAGACTATAAAACATTTATATTATTTAAAAACAAAGGTGCCCTGTGAAAAATGAGTGGGAACTTTTTAGAAGTGTGGGTGTGTGTTACTCTTTTGGAGTGTGTTAAGATGTGTATCTATTGCGTTCCAGCTCAATTTGAATGCAACATAAATGACGAAACCCAAAAGATTGTTTTAAAACAACAATTTATTTTACAATCTGAGTACAAGGCAATTCAGCAATAATCAGTTATTCTCAAGAATGAACTGAAAACAGCAAAACAACTTCCATCCATCCATTTTCTTTACCCATTTATTCCATTTTGGGTCACGGGGGTCACTGGTGCCCATGTCCAGCAATCACTGTGCGAGGGGCGGGGTACACCCTGGACGGGTCGCAAGTCCATCACAGGGCCACATAGAGACAAACAACCATTCACTCTCTCACTCACACCTAGGGACAATTTAGCATTACCAATCAACCTAACATGCATGTTTTTGGTCTGTGGGAGGAAACCGGAGCACCCGGAGAAAACCCACGCATGCACGGAGAGAACATGCAAACTCCACCCAGAAAGGCCCCTGGACTGGGGTTTGAACCAGGGACCTGCTCGCTGAGAGGCAGCAGCTCTACCAGTTGCGCCACCGTGCTGCCGCAAAACAACTTGTCTTCTGAAAAGTTAACCGACTGAGGACCAAAGAAAAATCCAAAAGAAACAAAAATACACAATCCCAACAAAGGGCAGAACCTAAAACCAGGGGCACAACCATGAGAGTGAAATCTTCCCAAATAAAGTCTCTTGGCTGCATAAGTCACATCACAGAACCAAAATCAAGACGACTTTAGAAAACAGCAAAGTCAGCATAACAAGCATACAATGGCCTACAGCGCATGTAGCAAAGCAGTCCTGACTGAAGGATGAGACTGGATTTTAAAATCTCCCTCTGCTTCATCTGGACTCACAGGCAGCCTCTCTTGAATGTGCAGTGCTGTCCAAGTCTTGTACAGCCAATCATCTTTGGACAGGTAAGCCTTGAAAGCCTTGTTGGGAGTCCACCAGTAGAGGGAGGAAACCAATCAGCAGCTGGAGATGTATTGTTAGAAGGAAAATTCCCACGTAAAAAAGACTAAAGAATAAAAGAAAAAACCCATAAGAGGAGAGAGGCGATACAGGCCTGATGCCCTAACACACCTTCTCCAGACCCATATCATTCAATGTCACACCTCAAACCTGGACAATGTGTTTGCCATGACAGGTTCTGTCCCTTTTTATTGATGTACGTTCAATTGGAAATCTTGGACAAGCAATGCCCATTGCATGAGCTGTTGGTTGTGGTTCTGCATAGAGATAGGAATAAAAGGGGATCATGGCTGATGTTCACAACAATGGGCCAAGGACTGGAGCCGAGGTACACATCAAAGTGCTGGAGGAAGAGCAACAAGGAATAAGCATCTGTTTTAATGGTGGAATAGTTGATTTAGTTCTATTGAACTTATGAGAGAAATAAAAAACAGGATGATCAATGTCATTACTGTCCTCCTGCAGCAATACTGCACCAGTCCCCATAGAACTAGCACCAACTTTGAGTTTAAAAGGCTCAGAGAGATCTGGGCAGCAAGTACAGGAGCATGTGTAAGTAGGGCCTTAATGATATCAAAGGCCTGTTGACACCCAGGCGCTCAGACAAAGTTGGTATTGGGACTAAGCAATCTGGTTAACGGTCAGGAGTGACATGCAGAAATGTCACCTAAGGGAGAAAGTAAGAGGAACTTGCCAAGAACCTTTCAGTAGATCAATATCAAGGTCAATGTCAATTTATTATATAGCACATAAAAACATCAAGAGCTGATCAATATGCTTTACAATTTAGTCCAATTAAATCGAAAACAAGAAAATAGAACAACAAAATGCATCTTGTGTCACTCAGAAAGCACAAGAAAATTAACAGTAACACTTTACAATAAGGTACACAAAATCTGATTAACTATTAAGGAACGAATCAGGAACAAATTAGGAACAAATAAGGAGCTAATGGGAAGTTCACCAGTACTTACTGGGGAACACACAGCCAAGCTTTATTAGGGGACTACTGGTTAGTTATCTTGCAAATGAAGAGGAACTAATGGGTAGTTACCAAGGAAATCAAAGAGGAATGAATCAGGAGCTAATAGGTAGTTAACCAGTACTTACTGGGAAACACACAGCCAAGCCTTATTAGGG